CATCCCTTCCTTAATTCTTTAACCATAGTTTCCTTTAGTTCCGTGAAATGTTTACAATGGCTACTTTGAAGTGTTTTCTGATAAATATGACACTGTGTCCTGCCCATAGGCAGTTTCTGTTGCTTGCTTTTTCAGATATATGGGTTGTACATTCCTTTCTCTGCATGCCTCATAATTTTTTGTTGGAAATTGCACATTACAGTTACTATATCATAGCAACTCCGGGTACTAATCCCCCTCCTCTGGGGCCTATTATTATTTATTTGCTTATTTGTTTAGTGTCCGGCTGGATTATTTTAGGGAAGACTGTTCCTTTCCACCTCCCCACCCACAATGTGCTGAGCCTCCGATGTGTGTGGAAGGACCGTGCGGCTTTGGGTAGCCCACAGTCCCCCTGGGATAACAGTGCTTTCCCAGGACACCCCCCCACCCCGTCCCCGCTTTCCTGACCCCTGGTTGCTGGCTGATTGCTCTACTCTCATCAACAATAGCCTGGGCACAAATTCCTCTACAAACTAAGCCAATCAAGTTCTGGCTTCCTTGGTTTCAGAGGTCAGTGTTTGATATTTGACTTTAGGAGGCTCCTCCCAGTTTCCTTATTTCGGGGTTCTCTCCTGTGAACTGGCCTCCAATTCAGCCTGTACCCTGACCCTTCTCCCGCCGCTCTTATCCACTCTTTCACTGCTTTGAGAATGCCCTTGGGGAGCAGTTGGCTAAGTGTCCAACTCTTGGTTTCCGCTCAGGTAGTGATCTCAGGGTTATAGGACTGAGCCCCACGTTGGGTTCTGCATTCAGCACGGAGTCTGCTTAAGACTCTCTCTCCCTCTGCTTCTGCCCCACCCCCACTCCCTCTCTCTCTAAAAATAAATAAATCTTAAAAAAAAATCACGAGCTCAAAGGATTAAATATATTTGATCTGTTTCATTCAGCTGCAACTGTGATTCTCAATGATGCTCAAGCTATCATATCTCTGGCCAGTGGGACCCTAGTTAAGTTGGCTCCTGAGTCCAAGCTTAGCATCCCTTAATAACTTCCTTGACTTCTAAAAATGAATCCAGGCTTTTCAGTAAAAATACTGATTTAACAGTATACCCATATTGGAATATGCAAAATATATGTAGTGAGCACATAGCAATGCTTCTAATTCAAATTTAGGACTACAAGGTTTCTATTAATTTCATTGATCTTAAATCTGTATCTTCTTTTTACCATGCCAAAAAAAGTCAGTTCTCAACACTATTTGAGACATTTGAGCTGTTTTCAGTCTTCAGTCATTAAAAATTGTACTGAATAAAATGCCTTTTAAGTAGATCTTTTGAATTCTTGCCAATGTGTGTTTAGGATCTATCCTTAGAAGCATATTTGCTGGGTCAAAGGGTAAATGCAAATGCAATTGTGTTAGATATTGCCAAATCCTCTTGGGGGTTTCAGCACTCAGCATCACCCTGTCAATGTGTGGGATGCCTGCTTCCACACAGCCCTGACAACAGAGTGCAACCAAACTTCTGGGTTTCTGACAATTGAATGTGTAAGAAAAGGCCTCAGGTTATTTTTATTTCTAACTCTCTTGCTGTGAGTGAAATGAGGGGGTCTGTTTCTCTCAATGTGATGTTCTGCTTTGGCTGAGGGTCATGCAAAGGCGACACAGAAAGGACATTTGTAGGAAAAGTGGATTGGACTGAAAACCCCTACCTAACAATTCATCTTAAAATGACCCAAGATTGGGAGCACCCCTGGTCACAAGGCAGAAGCAGATACTAAGTTTTGCTGGAAGAATTCAGACATGTCAGAGAAATTCCCGAAGAAAATTTCCAAAAAATATAAACTCATAGTCAAAAATCACAAAATTCACCAGAAAACAAGGCACTATGAGTGAGTGAGCAGAAAAAATGGATGAAAGAATTAGACCCATGGAATCTTCAAATATTGATATCACTCAACAATGTAAAATTAGTTTAATATGTTTGAAGAAATAAAAGAATTGAAAATGTGATGGACGAAAGCTATAAAAATACAAGAAATTAGAAAAACAACACAAAACTAACAGAATTGAAAATCGTACCTACTGAAATTAAAATCTGAATGAGTTTAACAGCACATTTGATACAACTGATAAGAAAATTAGAGAACTAGAAAGTAGAACGGAAGAAATCATCCAGAATGAAGCAAAGACCACGGAGGAATGGAAAATACGGAAGGGCTGGTGAGAAACACAGCTCATTGAGGGAGAAGGTCTGAGACATGCATGGCTGGAGTTTGAGAAGGAGAAGGAACGGAGAATCGGGGAGAGGCAATGTGTGAGGAGCTAAGACCCCAGGCTCGCACAATGGCGTGAAGAGCCAGCAGGTACACAGACGCATTCCCTTAACCGTCAAGCCCGCAGAACAGTAAAGACGGAGGCCAGACAGAGCCCTTCTGAGGAACGGTGACAAGACTGACCGCTGAACCCTCAGCAGCAGCCATGAGATGAATGAGACCCTCACCCCACTTAGGGAGAAAACTGCCAGCAAGGGCGGTATTCCTGACCAAACTCTCCTTCAAGAACAGGAACAGAACAACTTTTCCAGGCAAAGAGAACCGAGAATGCTCGTTCCTCCTGACCCTCACTAAAGGAGATTCTGAAGAGATTTGTTAGGCAGGAGGACAATGTTTCCAGCAGAATCAGTGCTAACTATGGGGCTGCAGTGTGTGGGGACACAGACAGGACCCAGAGGCCAGCGTCCACCTCTCATCACACCCACGGCTCCAGGTGGTGGAGTCGAACGTCCACAGTCCATGTACTGTTTGGGGGAAGGGAAAGAATACTGATTAATCTTAGATCTGAACAAGTATTCACATATTAAAATTTCTGAGATAACATGAGAGGGTGCCTAACTTCCCTAATTTCAGAATGAGAAAAGAAACCCACTCCATCCAAAATAAGGTACAAAAAGAGAAAAGAAAGAAAAGGTGAGCCAAGGGGCATTGAGCAGACTCATGAGGTTCTGAATACGATTTTGAGGAACTCGGCAAAGCCTGAGGACACAGTGCCCCCAGGACAAGAGCCAAGACTAGTGCTCTGCCCTGCTCCCTGTGAGCCTGAGCACTTCACACACCAATTAGGAACAAATGCGGTCAACCCAGTGGGCTCTGGTCTCCCAAATAACATGTTGAATATTTAAACCTAAGTATGATAATCCCATTTCCCACTACAAATAGACTAATGCAAACTCAGCACCCTCAAACACTGACAGCCTATGCTTAAGTGCTACTCCCATGCACCCTGCAAACGGGCTCTTCCTTGTCATCGTGTCCAGCTGACTTTCCCCTCGACGTTGGACCTGGAAACCACACCCAGGTTTGGCAGCAGAGACACTCTCCCTGAAGTTTGACATCCTCCATTTCTCAGAAGAAAAACCAGGACAGACTGAACGAGCAGCTTTCTGGGTAGGGCCGAAGCAAGGATTGGAACCCAGGATGGACAGGCCCCAAAGACTACACGACAGTCTTACTGGGGCTGACACTGTGGACAAGGACGTTTAGCACAACGTGCTGCAGTGAGAAAGGCCAGTGTGCTCCTGCAGACGGCGGCGGCAGTGCAAGGAGACGTGCAGGAGCTGGAGAAGGAAAGGTCTCTGAGGGGAGGTGGACAGAGACAGAATGGGAGTTTCACATGTTAGCACTGTCTCTATGCTGTGCTTTTAAGAGACAAAGAAGGGACTCTGGGTCAGCCCTGACACATCGCCCCCGGCCAAGGCTGGTCCCTGCCCCCCCCACCCTCCACGAAGTGCATGCTAGGTCTCTTGTTGATGCCCTAGGACCTGCACTTTAGGTTTTGGTTTTTTCTGTAAGCACTTGGTAACCCACCTTTAGAGCTTTTACTGTGTGAAACTACTGGTGTGACATGACCCCCCCGACAGTCCCTTTGCTCCAGATTCCGGAGAGCCACAGGTGTGGCTCAGCAGGAGCTGGGGCACCAGCCTCCATGCCAGGAGCCACAGATGACCACCAGCTGCCTCTGGCCAAGCCCAGAGCCCAGAAAGGACAGGCTGGAGGTGAGGTGGAGAGGGGCAGGCCCATTCTCTGCTGCTGGCTGAGCTGGAGCCCTCAAGCCAGCAGTCAGCACAGAAGCACCCCAGGCGCATGCCTGATGGAGATGGGGCCTCGAGAGAGAGACCCTGCTGTTGGGTCCCCACTCTGCCAGGTCTAGCCCTGAGAGCCCCAACTGTATCAACATCGAGCTGACCCCACTGTTTCCGTTCAGGTGCTGCTCCCGGCACTTCTTCCCTGGTAGCTGCATTACGCTCATCCATATGAGGGTACAACGACTCCACTCTGTTCCTGCCGAGCATGTGCCGGCCAGGCCCTGGAGCTCTGGCCAGAGCCCCCTCCCTCACTGCGACACTCCCTCATTGCCCCATCACGGTCTTTCCTTGGAGAAGCCACCCTGGCCGCACTGCCCCCCAAGGCACGCATGAGCCTTCCCTGGTTCTCACCAAACCCCATCAGGTCTGATTGCTGGTGTGGTGAAGGGGTGATCCAGGAACCTCTCGTCAAGCCATGAACATCAGCGACTCAGTGCTGTGTCCTGCCCTTCACCCCCTGGGGGTTTGAGGCTTCATAAATCTTCCTGAAAACCCAGCACTGAGAACAGATTAGCCGTGGGTAGCTGCTGTTCACTTCTCTACCCAGTTCAACAACACACAAGTGACAACTGGAGACTAACGGGAGACTGTTAAAGGCAAGTATTTACATGTTTACAAAGCACATCCTCAGGACGGCCCCCATTTCATTCCCGAGCATGTGTCGGGGCCACTTCTGGAACTGGTGGGCCTGTCACTGCTTCTGCAGTCACATAGTGGTCCACCGAGGGACTGGTATCGAGGATCAAGGGTGGCAAATGCCTGGGTCCTAGGGCAGCCACACCAGAAGGCGAGAGAAATCGCACTACTGACACCATGTGAAAGGCAACCGCCCCCCTCGGGGTCTGTTCGGAGGCCCATGGCTCTCTGTCCACATTGTCACCGGTGTTCCTTTCTTTTCTTGGTGCTTTTAAATCCTCGTGATGCACCTTGACCGAAACAGATGGTAGAAGGTATTCTGAAAAGGAAAACAAATCTTTGTACTAAACCGTTACGGTTTTTGCCAATAAAAAACCCAACTCGTAAAAGCAGCATCATGAGTATGCTCTTCTTGTTCTGGAGGGCCCCTTCTCTTTCACTTTGTGGGACATTCAGCACATGGGCGCTCCTTTCCCTGGATGCCCTGTACCCCAGGCCCCGGGGCAGCTCCCTTCCTGGGGCTGGCCAGCTGCCTCGGACCTGCTTCCTGAGGGAGACTCTCCCAGCCAACAGCGTGCTTGCCTGGGACACTCGGCCAGGTGGGCCGCTGCTGCCAAGTTTCCAGGCCCAGGCTTCCTGTGACCCAGCATCTGGAAAAAGCCACGGGCATCCAGGACCCACTTGCAGGCCAAAGTCTGGGCGGCAGCGTGAGGGCAGCGGGAGGGATACAAGCCCATCTTCCTGTCTGTTTGCATTTGTTGGGCAATCTCTTTCCTCCTGCCCAACATTTTCCCTCAAATTAGACTTAAAATCAAGTTTAACCCAATAAGAGAATAATTAGTATGAGAATGACTTGTAGATCATAACTTCAGCAACGACAGCCAGTGGTCACTCTATCCCAGTTTAGGCCACGATGCAAAGGGGAGGGGGTGCCTTGCCTTCCTGGGTCCCAAAGCAGGGCACACACAAGAAACTGAGATATTCAAGAGAAACAGAAATAGGCTGTCAACCACTGCAGAAGCCAACACTCCGACCCAGCAACTGCTTCTCTCAGTGACAATACTGCCTGGGGTCAAGTCCAGCGTCATCCTCATAAAACACACATTCAGAACTTGCTGCGGAAAGACGGCAGGTACTGACCTGTGGTTGTATGTCCGCCGCTCGCCCACGCATTCTGGGAGGGGGGCCGCATGTTCAGAGCAGACTTCCATGGCGTCCCCTCCCGACTGCTCCCCATCATCCCCCAGAGCTTTTGCCGACACTTGTACAGTGGCCACTGGTGTGGCTGGACTGTGGAGACAGGGGGGTGAGTGGTGGCCCTGTGACCCTGTCTTCCCTCACGGACCAACTCTCCACAAAAACACCACTGTTTCTTGCAAAAATATTTTATAGCTATCCTGGCACAGTGTAATTCTTAGACTGCTAAGACAAAAACAAGGATGATGACAAAATCCTAAATGAACATTTATATAACAGGTGCCATGTTTATAAGCTTAGTGACAATTACACTTTATCTTTTGAAAATAGTATTTCTGGGGTGCTACGTAGTAAATGCCTATCAAGGGAGCTCAAAGTCTTTTCATGACCACACGTGAGAAATCTACTAATGTTAACTACAGAGTACTGAGAGCCTCCTCCCTAACCCCTACTGGACCCAGCATTGCAGGGCTTTTCTCCTTGAAATGATCCCTCCAAAAGGAGAGAGCTACCTCACATCCAAAGCCTCCCACTGTCCCATGCTGCAGTGTGCTTTCAGAATTACATTACTTTAAAGAGCAAAGTCCCACTGAGAGAAACTGTCTGAAGAAACTTCAATCAACACAATTCTCAGGAGATTCTGAAGGACCAAAGAATCACTTGAAAGAGGCAAAGAAATACAACACAAATTCAAGAATTACCCCTGAAGCATTTCCCCAGGTGCACTCTTAACAATGACAGTGGCAAAGAGCTTTATTGTCAAGTCACCAACCAGACAAAAAAAATCACAGGGTCATTGTGAGGGAAGGGCCTCACGGCCTGGGACAAATTCCCAGGGGCTGTCAGCACCACGTGGGGCTGGCACTTGGGGGGGGAGGTGCAGGTACAGCTCTAGTGTGAATGCAGAGAAAGGGGTGATGCTCCTAGATGCCCCGGGGCCGACACCGCTCCGAGACCCCACTCATTCCCAACAGAGCAGCAAAACCATGCCTACTGGTTTAAGCCTCCTGACGAATAACTCCCGGGTCAGCGATTCCCTATCTGCAGCTGAACGTGACATAAGTAACGCAGATGCTTAACTACAGCGCCAGTACCCTTTGAGTCTCTACACCCAAAATGCTTTTCTAAATTCAACGGCCTGCAGCTTGCTTTCTGTACCGTCTCGCGTACCCTCTGCTTTTCTTCGGTTTATCAAATCGGAAGTCGGCTGGGTAGAGGTGACGTCTCACCAGGTGATCCTTCCTGTCTTTGCTGGTCTTGAACTTCTCTGTACAGCCTTCCACCAGGCACTGATACTGAAACATAAATGGTGTCGCCTCTGTCCTGACCCCCACCTCGATGGTGCCCCCTCACCTGGCCCCTGACCCCCACGGCGCTGGTACCCACCAGGCAGACAGCTCAGGAACAAGCCCCCCGCCCCCTCCCCCCACCCCCAGGTGACTGCACTTGGGCCCAGCGGGCGCGGACGCATCACCCACCATGTCCTGCCTTTCGGATAGGATCTGGAACAGAGAGTCATGCCACTCCAGTATGTGGATGTCCAGCAGGTGGACGGAGGGGAAGGCCCGTCTGCAGAAGGAGCAGACGTTTCTGTGCAGAGTGTGGTAGTGGTGCTCATAGTCCTCCAGGGTGTCGAACACCTGGCAGCACCCTGCCACCTGACAGGTGAACTCGGGCACCCTGGCGAAGGAAACCACCTCGTGGGAAGGCCATTCTGCTGCTAACAGAGGGCCTCAGGCTGCCGGTCCACACCTGTCCTCTAAGTGGCCTGATAAAGCATTGATGTTTCCTTCCCAATCCCAAATCAAATTCTCACAGGCCAGCTAGGAGACGGCCAGGCCAGACAAGAGGGGCGTGGACGGTGGTCGGGCTGAGAGTGGCAGGGCAGCAGTCACCCGGGAGGGGCGGGCAGGGCCTGGGGAGGGGGCGGCGCTGGGCCCAGAGCCACTCACCTGGGTCTCTCAGGCGCCCCTGTCACCTGCGTGAGCACGTCCTGGAGGTAGAGGTGTCGCTGCACATCGCCGTCCTGCGAGACACGCACGTAGTGGGCGGGGCCGGGCGCTGTAGTTCCGATGCTCCAGCGGCCGTAGGCCCCGCCCCTCCAGAGGCCGCCCCCACCGCAAGCTCCGCCCCCACCATCGGTCCCGCCCCGCAGGCCCCGCCCCTCCAGCGGCCGCCCCGACTGCAGGCTCCGCCCCCACCATCGGTCCCGCCTCGCAGGCCCCGCCCCCTCCAGCCGGCCGCCCCCCTCGCAGCGGGCCTCGCCCCCACCCATCGGTCCCGCCCCTCCAGCGGCCGCCCCGACCGCAGGCTCCGCCCCCACCCAACGGTCCCGCCCCGCAGGTCCGCCCCTCTCGCCGGCCCCGCCCCCGCCCGGAGTCGGCCGCATTCCCCGTCGACAACCGCGTTCTCCCCCCTTGGCTCACACACCTCGAAAAACTCGTGGTCCCGCGGGAAGCGCACCCGGCGCGCCGCGAAGTGGAAGGGCGGGGCCCCGGCCGCGGGGTCCCGCTCCACAGGCAGCGGCGCGGCCGCCCCGGGTGCCCCCGCCAAGCGGGAGTGCAGCGCGGGCGGCAGCTGCATCGCCCTGCGCACTAGCGGCACCACAGCAGGCCGGCCGCCGTCCGCGAGCGGGGCGGGCCGGAAGTGTCGTCGCGCCACTTCCGCCACTGGCGCGGGCTGCGCGAGGGGCTTCGGCGGGCTGGGTCCAGACGCGAGGCGTCAGCGGTGAGTCCGGCGGGGGGCGGCGGCGCCTGGCCCTGGGGGACGGCGAGGCCGGGCGCGGTCCTCCTTCCCCGCGCGCTCGCCCGGCGTGCGCAGCGCTTCCCCGCGTTGACTGCACGCGGGCGCAGGCCGGCCAGCGGCTCGCCCCTGGACCGCGCGCTGCCAGACTCCGACGCCCGCGCTCCGGCGCCGCCCTGGCCCCTGTGTCGTCCTGCGCACGGCCGGGTCCCCACACGGGACCTCGGAGTGCCCTTCGCAGACCGTGACGTGCGGACTCCTGCCTGTAGAAGCTCGCACTGCCGCTGTCAGCCTCACTGCTCGCAGCGCGTCTGCCTCCCGCCGGAAGGGCCGGGGCGGCCGCTGGGTCATTCCTGTCTGCGGCGCGTCACCAGACCGGGGCCAGAGTGGTCTACGGACACTTCGCGTTTCATGGTAGCGCTTCTTGTTGGAAGCCCTTCGGCGGCCTCCCGTTACCTTGGTCCCCTTGGTCCAGTGACCCTCTCTTGGCCGGTCAGGCCCTGTCTGTTCCGCCTGCCTTTCTAGTGCCCTGCATCCCGTCAGCGCCTGAGATGTGCGGGACGCCGTGCCCGGTGCCCCCCGCGGAAGAAGTAGGGGCGGGCTCTGCTACCCTGGAGCCTACTGCCTAGCTGGGGAGACGAACTGTGAAACAGTCACCTAATTAAAGTGGTGGTAGATGATTTAAGGGACGCCAAGATGCTGGGGACTTGCCGTAGGGGGTGGGTGGGATGGCTCCGAGGCTGACTCCCCTCCTCGCACAGGTGGTTCAGCGTGGACGTGCACATGCACGCGCGCAATGGTCAGGAAAAGGGGGTTCTGTGCCTTTAACAAGTTAAAAAATAACTTTAAAAAACGTAATTTAAAAAGTATAATTAACTTATTTCATTCTGGAAGTAAAGGTGTGTGGCTACGTTCCCAGTCAGTCATTTTTGCAGCTAGGAAGAGCTCTGGACAGACTCTGTTTTTCACCTCTTACGAAAAAGCATTAGGAGTCTTGACTTTTTTTCACAAACTGTCTGATGTTTTCCAAGCCCATTTGTGCAATTAGCTTTGAGCCCTCAACAAACACTCGCTGCCCCTTCTCTCTGCCTAACTCATTCCTGGGGAAATGTGCAGTAGGCGGCCTTGCCTCCACCCTCTGCGCAGCTCGCGGTCGGGGAGGAGGAAAGTTCTGCCCTGTCACAGACGTCTGTGTTTGCAGCCACTAACAGAAGAACTCAGGAGCGTCAGAAAGATCTGGTGGGCTGTTGTGATTAGATGCTCCTCAATGTTGTTTTCAGTGGGGATGCTGTTGACATTTTTGGTGGGGTGCTTATGTTGGTGTTTAGGTTCTCTGGTCTCCTGCCCACTGAATGCCAAGAGCACCCCTCTGGTCACTGTGACAACCAGAAGTGTCCCTTACACATTTCCAGATGTCCTCCTAGGAGAGGTCCTGCCTGCAGCTGAGAGCAAGTTGTTGCAGGAATCGTTCCAGATCTCCACAGAGAACTGGCTTCCTTATATATTAATACTTGTGACGTGGGCATGTCTGTGCTTGTATTTTTACCACAAACACAAGGTTTCGTGCAGATAGTTTTAAACATTCTCTCAGATGATCATTCTTCTGAAGTGCTCTCTCCACCTGCTTGTATCTGGTGGACAGGTGTTTCCTTTCGGTGGGAAACAGTGTGCTTGCCATCTAGCATGTCAAAGGGTCCTCAGTCCAGCCAGTATAGGACAACCCACATTCCTTGGGACACCTTGTAGCACACGGATAAAACCAATTGCCCTTAGATTCAGAGAGGCCTCAGTGGGAAAGTTCCGTGTCCTCTTTGCTGTCTTGCCTGTAGTTTGCAGTGCCTCGTTCGGGGTCCTCTGTGATCGGTAAGGTAACTGATGGTTTAGGATGCTGTTGGTGACTCAGATCCAGTTTTCCTTTTGTAAAACCAGCCAGTTCTCCAGTAACAACATTTCCACTTGGTCAACCCTATGTAGTAAAAGCACACTTATTCCTGCTTCTCTAGTAACAACACCATAGGAACTTACCAAGTATGGGCCCTTTGGGGCTTTCACAGCAGCTCTGTGGGTAGGATTTACTAGGCACCCCTTGTCAGAAGAAGCCTAGAGAGGACAAGCTCCTTGCCTAGGGCCCTATAACTGGCCATGTCAGGGTTCAGACTGTCCGGGACTCCACAACCTATGCCCTGCTGCACCTCATGTCCGTGACTGGTTACTGTGAGCACCTCCTGATTTTACAAGTATGTATGTTCATGCTTAACTGTTCTGCTTTTATGTTTGGAGATACCCTGGCTCCGGCCAGTTTTAAATGTTTATATACTAGGAGATTAGAGCCTCACTTTCTCAGTGTGGATTTGCAAAGTAATATTCATTAGTTAATTAGCATATGTGGAAGTGTGTGCTGAGTCTTCTCTGCTTGATGCTTGATATTTAAGTTGGGCCTCGTCTCCACTAGAGCTGTTAGCACAGTTTTGTTTTTATAAACGGCTTTCCTCTTACCTTTAGGAAAACCTGTTGTGATGTTGTTTCAGAGCCAAAACTATGAGTGAATTTCGGATTCACCATGACGTCAATGAGCTGCTCAGCTTACTGCGTGTCCACGGAGGGGATGGGGCTGAGGTCTATATTGACCTGCTGCAGAAGAATAGGACCCCCTATGTCACAACAACTGTATCTGCACACAGTGCCAAGGTGGGTTCCGTCCCTGGTGCTGCGCTGTGCCCTGGGCAAGGCGGGCCCCGTCCTGGTGCAGCGCTGTGCACAAAGTTCACCAGCTTCCTGCCTGAGCAGCCACAGCATCACCAGTGTTGATGGCAGACAATGCTTGTTAAAGGCTTTTCTTGGACCAAGTTTTGTGCTCAGTCATCAGAAGATGATTCCTCATAGTGGCTCTTGTAACTCACCGTGTTGTACAGATGAGTAATTGGAGGCTCAGGGAGAGCGCTGGGCTGTCAACCTGACTTTAGAACCCAGGTTCTGGGTCCCATGAGGAAGGAGACTCTTATTCCTCTGGATGAAAAGGAAGCTCCTGGCGACGCCTGGCTGACTCAGTTGCCTGGAGCATGCGACTCTTGATCTCGGGATCATGAGTTTGAGCCCCACATGGGGTGTAAAAATTACTTTAAAAAAATAAATAAAAAACTTGAAAAGAAAAGGAATCTTCTGGTATTAACTGTATTGAAATCTCTTTAAAGCAGATTTTTCTATCTTTATTCAAATAGTATATAATTCAAAATTATAGATTTTCAGTAAGAGAGAATTTTGAAATTTATTTTTAGAAACACATCATGAAGCTTCAATTATTTAAATAGATTAATAATGGCACCAGGATAATTAGGAAAATTCACTGAGCAGACAGTGTTTGGGAACACAAAAGTGAATTTAATTTATAACAAGGGGAACACCATAAATCAATGAGCAAACATAACCCCTGAGCCTAATTACAAAGGGAATAGCATTGAATGTATGAAGCAAATGCATAAACTGGTAGAAAAATCTAAGTGGTTATTTCCTGATCTCAGGCTGAGGAAGCATAACAGGAGGGAAACTACAGGGGAGACCGTGCATAGGGTTAACAAAATGTTTGTTGGGTTTAAGTCTTATTTCAGAGGTATGTGATCATTTAGCCTACCTAATTTCACTATTTTGGTTTTTGTGTTTTATTTTCTGGAAGATTTTTTAAAAGTTGTTATTGTCACTGAATCTCTCGTGTTTGTGCTTTTGAGGTTAAAATAGCAGAATTTTCTCGTACTCCGGAAGACTTTCTAAAGAAATATGATGAACTGAAATCTAAAAACACAAGGAACCTTGACCCGCTGGTGTACCTGTTATCAAAACTCACGGAAGACAGAGAGGTAACGGCTGTGTGGGCTCGCATCAGGAGTGTCGGGAAAGGCGAACGTGTGGCGGGTTTCTGACGGAGCTCGTGTCGGGGGGGTTGCGCTGGTGGACGCTTACGAGATTTGCTCCGTTGAGACAGCGCCTCTGACGGCACGTTTCTGTGCTTCTTTCCCTGCTCTGTGCTAGTGGCACTTTGAGGTAAAGTAGGGATGTATTTGTGGTGCTTCAGAGCAAAAGTAGCTCACACTGGCAGTAAACTTGAGAAGTATTCCAGTCGTTACCTCCCGGGGTGGGGGCTTTATTTTTTGTTGTCTCATGCTGTGTTTTCATGTGTTGTGAATTGTGCATGTGTCATTTGCAACACTAAGGAAAGCACTCAGTGTCGAGGCTGGAGGAGCCGCTGCGCCTGCGAGCGTCCAGGGAGGTGCCTGGCCCTCTCCCTCCGCAGGCCCAGGGCCTGTTCGGGGTGAAGGATGCGGCCAGGCACATTTGACTGTCTGCGCCGGGGACGGACAAAGGGAAGTGGTCCCGCTACAGTATGGGAGACTGGCCGAGTGCAGAGACGGGGCCGTGCCCTTGGGAACGGAGTTTGGGGATTGTCTGTCGAGCGGCCGTAGTATTATCCTCCTCTCCTGATTTGGAGCTGTGGCACCTCGTGGCAGCAAACGCTGAGAGAGTGGACTGCAGCTCAGGGACTCATGGGGGTCCTGTTGTTCCTCCACATGGAGTCGGGAGGGAAGGAAGCGGGGGCTGGCTGGGCTCTGCAGAGCTGGCCCATGTGATCACGATCTTGTGTGTTTTCAGACTCTGCAGTATTTACAACAGAATGCGAAAGAACGCGCCGAGCTTGCAGCCAGCGCTGCAGGCAGCGGCACCACCAACTTCAGTGCCCCTGCCACGGCCTCCAAAATCTCCATGCAGGAGCTTGAGGAGCTGAGGAAGCAGCTTGGCAGTGTGGCCACGGGCTCCACGCTACAGCAGGTAGGGCTCCCCCACCACCCTCAGGGGTGACAGTCCTGGACCACAGGAGTGGATAACGATGCAGGAAGGTTCTGACCCA